CTGGTGCAGGTCTCCTTTCATTTTTTCACTTTTTTTGCCTCAAAATGGGTTTGCATTTGGCACCTTTCACATTTTTTCGGGTTTGGACGTTCCTTCCCATTTTTGAAGCTTCTGTTTTTTTTGCATTTTTGATGGTTTGGCTCGTGCAAAAAATAAAACATTGAAAATGCTAAAGTTGGAAGAATTGCAAAGTTGGAAGACACCAAACTTGGAAGATTTGCAAAGTTGGAAGATTGTGGGTCCATGCATTTTGGAGTGCGGGAAGTTTGGATGTGCATCTTCCAACTTTCGGGCTGTCACCATAAAACTTAAAACAAGTTGGTAAACCAAACCCGAAAACCCATTGTAGGCTTATGCCATGCTTTGCAGTGTCAGGATGGCCGGGCGAGGCTGGCACATGCAGTTGAGAAGATCCAAATCGGTGCCTGGGTGACAGGAGGTGTTTCAACGAAGGTGGGTTGCACGGTCTGCATGAGGGCCTTATAGACCCTTCATACAGGGCGTTCAATTGTGTCTCGAGCCTCAGACTAATGTATTTATGTCTGGCGGCTCGGACATCCCCATGCTGATTCACTTCTCCTTCCGGCCGATCTGAACGCATCATGCCTGCCAGGGCTTCGTGTCAACAGCTGCCAAGCTTGACCCCACGGACGTAGATTACGATGCTTGCTGGATAACTCAGGCGGACAGGCAAACCTCTCTGGAGGCTTGCTCAAGGGGCGCTTGACTGATCACGGTTTGGGATCTAGGCTTGGCCCGCACGGATCAGGGGGCCGTGGGATGAGAGGCAGTGTTGCCAAGCTTCAGGAATGCGACTGCAGCAATGTGTCTTCTATGTTGATAGAGCGTACGCTCGGCTCCGAAAGCGCTACAACCAGCCATAAACCCCAAATGTCTGTAGAAGCCCTATTATTCCATAAACCCCAACCTTGCAAACCAGAAACCCTAAATTATATGCATAAAGCCCTAAGCCCCTAAGCACTAAGAACCCTAAGCACTTCCAGTACACCCCGTGAGCTTCGACGCCGAGGTTTGGAGCTCCACAGGGCAAGCCGCGAGCCGCACTCTCCGAGGGCCAAGTGGTGCAGGCGGACCGCTTGGCCGTGCTTTGGGGTTTTTGTCTAGGGGTTTAAAGATGTTGGACTCAGAGCTTTCAGGCTTTAGGGTCTTTGCTGTAGGGAGCTCAAAGACACCGTGGCTCACAGTAGCACCTGCCTTTATCGTCTGAAGGTGCATCTCGAGTCCAGGAATCACCCCGAGACCCAACGCAAGCACCAGTCCGGAAAATCTTGACGTCTGCTCAAGTCCCAGACCAAAAGCCATCGGGAAATTCCCTAAAGCCTTGAGAGGCTCGGACGCTGAAGCACGCTACATCTGCTGCGACTTGCTAAGACCCCAAGACCCTGCGCAGAACTCCAGCCCAAAAGCCAGAAGCCAATGCATCTGCCAGGTTGGCAACACTTACCATCGCCTTACCCGGGCAGAGGCAGAGGCCAACCGACGCCAAGAACTGAAGGACACGAAACCTGAAGTCAGCCCAATCAGCCAATCACTTTGCAGTTCCATCTCCTGAACGAGAAGCAAGGTGCGCCTGCAGCAGCGCCACTATGGTGTCAGTGACCCGCTGCCCGGCATGGAAGCCTGCTGGTCTCAGCACGCACCATTTTCGGACGTTTCGGATATAGATGTTCAGAAGTTGTGGCTTTGCGGGTTTCAGATGTCACATTTGCGGCTGAGCCAAGTGAAGATGCCAAATCGCAGATGTGCTGAAGCTGTGTTCTGAGACATTCACACACCCCACAGCTAGAATTACCATAGTTTGCAGCAGGAAGCGGGGGATGCGAAGCGACTTTCAGCCTCTTTCGGTCCCACGGGCCGGGGAGCAAGACAGCTATGCAGCCCAAGTCCACACGACGAGAAGAACTGAATGATCAATGTTTTTTATGCTGGCAATGGAAGACAGATCTGATTTACAAAATCCTTGGCGGCTGTTCTACATCAAGGTTGGTGGTCCTGGTTGTAGCAGACTCCGACAAAGGTAGGGACATTCAATTCCAAACACACCCAGCTAATGCGCCACCCCTTGCAATCCTCGGGTAACAAATTACGCATCTGAAGCTGCAAACCCAGCCTCCATGGAAATGTGCAGGGGCGCATTTCGAGTTTACATTGGATGTGCCTTAAGCCTGAATATATATGGGCTCCACCTTCTTGGTATCGGCTCGCCGGGACAGATTTCAATCGAGGGCTCCTGCTTGGTAAAGTTTGCGAACATGCAACCTTCTATCCTAGCTTCTCCACGTCCAGCTGAGGCCAGCAGGGGCAGAGCTTGTGCACGAGTGGACAATGATGCTCTGCTTTCCGGAAGATACCCTGGGTCTGGTGAATAAAGTCGTCTTCCAGCTTCATGAGACCTCCTCCGAACCGGTGGTGGAGGTGGACCTTTTCATCGAACTTTTGTAGTTCAGACATCATCCCTCAAAGCTTATTTGATACTTCAAGCTGGGCGCGAGTCTTGGGAGTCTATTCATGCAGATCCTTTGCAGGAAGTTCATTGGCAAAGCTGTTCAACTCCAAAGCCTCGGACTCCTCTGAATTGTCGAAACTCTGCAGAAACTTGTGGTTTAGAGCCCGAAGCCTTCAGCACCTATCATAGCCTTACGTTTAAAACGGACATGAAGCGCAGGTGACCGCCCCTCCTTCCAGATCACACGCTTCGGTTGGGGCACCTTCCAAATCCCCGCGGTTATTCATTTGCAGGACAGCTCGAAGCTTGGGGGTTGGAGGCAGCAAAACTACAAAGTTTTTCATGGAGGACATGGAAGGAAGAAGGAGCTCGGGGTTTTTGCGGCCCGGGCTTTGGTCTTTGCATAAGGAGAGGATTTGAGGCAAACGCTGCCCTCTGAAAAAAAAACCCTCTGAACCTGTGGCAGGACAGGCGCGAGTTGAAGGTGACGCACACAGTTAGCTTCGACCGGCCGGGCTCTGAGTTGAGTTCGGTGCCGACGGTGTGTGTCGAGTGCTTGGAGGGGATTGTTGAGGTTGTCGGCCAAGTAGGTGTCTACGAAGTACGGCTTGGCCTTGCTTCGCAACCGAAACTTTGAATGTCCCCCGAAACCACTCTGCCAGCAGGCCGGAGACCTTCCGCACCGTGCTGCTGCCGTTGAAGCCTCCCCCCAGCAGCTCAGGCGAGGGGCTTTAGGAACTCCGGGAACTCTGCAAAGAACTAAGACACCAGGCCTCTGGGGCCTTGGCCCCTCTGGTGCGGCGCCTGAGGAGACCGAGGAGGCAGCCAGTCAGACTGGCACCCTTCTTGTCTTTTTTTCTAGGGAAAAGCAACTTCAGGACGAGGGCTAGGGTGCTTCCTTTCTTTGCGGTTCAATTCCCCTTTGTCCAACTCCTTCCGTCTAGCGCGCAACAGCTTTCGCCGTTAGCCTTCATCCGAAAGCCGTAGCAATCCGAAGTTTACAGGAGCCTCGCAGTGCAGGTCCAACAACCCAGCCCCAAACCGCTCATCCAGGAGACAATCGCTGGGGCTGTGGTTCGGTCCACTTTCCTCTTCACGGCGGGGCCGTAGAAGGGCTGTGAAGCTTGTTCTGGGTGTTGCATCTCACGGCCCGTGTTCCTTCTTCTTTTTCTCCTCAGTGCCCGCCAGGCTGAAAGCATTTGTGAAACACCCTTCGTTGGTGACGTTGCGCATGAATCCTTGTATCTTCAGTAGTGTCCCGGGGTTCCTGATGGGGAGCTGTCCCCTTCTGCAATTGAAGCGGGTGCAGTGGGGAGTGCCGCGGGGATCGCAGTTCGTGAAAAACGAATCCAAACTAAATGCGGAGGACGGCATGGCCAACGAGGGCATCCGGGACACAGCCGGCATCTGCGCAGCAGCAACCAGCATGCTCACGGAGCTCAGGACTTCACGAACCACATGAAAAAGTCCTGTCCTGCTTGCAAGCTGTTGGCCGGAGGAACTGCAAAAGCACTATCTCCACCTTTGGCTTCGGTGCTGATCACAACGCGGAGATGTTGTGTCGGTTGGCAGAGACTGGGCAAAAAAGTGGAGGGTCCTTGCAGCTCCCAGACTGGACACGTGACGAGGACACGGCTGATGGCACCTACAGCCACGTGGAGACGGAGGACCAAATTGCAGAAGCTGTCGGTGAAGCACTGGGAGGTCTGCTGTCAACGACGCACCAGATGCCTGGAACTGCACTGAAAGCAACAAGACTGACGCACCTAGCATGTTGGACAGCAGGGTGTTCTTTGTAACTTCCCGCCATGTTGTAACAATTTCGGGTGGTGTAGTCAAGGGTTTGATGCGAGACCCCGGCTGGCGGGGGGATGTTGTCGGAAAGTCCACGATAGTAGGCTTAACAGCCGCTTTCATTGCTTGGCACATTGCGGCTACGACCGGGATCAGAGGAACAGGGATCTTGACAGGACAAATGATTGAGAACTGGATCTGTAGCAGAATGGCTCCGCTTGATTTGGAGGGCATTCCGATAGACTTAGACCTCAACCTCTCCGCCCGAGGCCGGCGAGCGCCAACAGCCACAATCCCAGGAAGGAGATAAACCGAAAGCCCCAAGCAAGTACAGGTCTCAGCCACAAGTGACAGATGCCCCAGAACGCATCTAAGGAACGTTTCACTCTCGTTGGAGCTGGCGCCCGGAGTGGGTCCCGAGGCTTGAACCCAAGCAGGCAAACCATGTTGGGGCCCAGAATCCTGCTCTTGACCGTTCTCCTGTGTTGGATGGGGCTGGGAGTCGAAGGAGTGCTGTTATGTCGCTGTCACCTCGTTCTCTGTGCTTGTGATGATGAAGACCTTGATCGTTCAGCCCTAGGGTAGGTGGCAGCACCATGACACAGCACACATGTGTTTTCGTCTCGGTTGAGTAACGTAGCTTTGTTCTGCACAGACCTTGCGCCAATGTCTACACTGGGCCTATACCCCAAACACGCTGGTGCCATGGGCAATTAGAAGCCTGTCCCCTGAAAAACAAAAGACTTGTAGCCGCTCCTCTTAAAGCAGCTTGAACAGTGTCGGCCCAGGCTTCCTTCGTGCCTTCACAGGCTTCCCCGTGGAGCCGCAAGACGGCCGCATCACCGCGGCGCGGCTGCAGTTGGAACCATGTGACCTTCCTTTCTCTTCCGTAAAAAGCGGGATCCTGGGCAAGGGCGCGCCACAATTTACGGAATAGCCCACGTGGGCTCGTGGACGCGATTGTTTTTGTGGATTCCAATCCTGCACAAGCCGGACACCCCCACGTCACGACTCACATAGTCATCAGCAGCTTTCACTTTTTTTGTTTCTGGTTTGCATTTACAGCTGATGAAAACTTCAGCTTGCGTACGTGGAGCACCGGAACCGTCAGACCTCAACGTGAGCCCTTGACTGAGCTCCCCAGCCGCAGCCACCCATCAACTTGACATCTGGGCGCAGAGTTCCATGTGTGCTGACTTGTAAGCACATGTGCTCCTCAACCAGAGCATCATGCAATCAAAGCCGAAAATCTAAACCCGACGCCCGCAACCATGAAATGGCGGCTTGAAAGCCGTAGCCACAGCTTTGCTGCCCCGAGGTTGAGCTCGGAGACCTCTACGCAGAGGAGCGCAGAGACATACTGGTGGCCGCTTTCTTGCACAACAACAGCTGCTCTGTGATTCTGCTACCTTGGGATTTGAGAGTTGGGGTGATGGATCACAAGGGTTTCATAATGTTTTATGCCGTTTCAGGCAAGCCCTGTGGCAAACTCCACTACCAACACCAGTCAGAGCAGATGGAAAGCTGCCGCGCTGCCAGCGCATTGAAGCGACAGCAAGGGCCCAGTCAAGAGCCCGACCATTATGCAGATCTGAACCTACCGTTTTACTGCATCCTGCTACTAGAGAGATAAGCAAGGCGAGTACTGCAGTGTAGTCAATGACCCCTGGTCCTTCAACGACCCGAGAGCACTGAGGCCCTGAGCCTGCCGGCGGTTCCCGACAGTGCTGCGCAGCTCCAGGGTATCGGTCGTTTGGAGGTTCCGCTCCGAGAGGGTTTCTTGATCTCAGGGTCTGCGTCGGGCTTTTTGGGTTTTAGGGCCGGTCTTCGGGCCGGGTGTTGGTTTTCTGGTTTCAGGGTTGGAGGCGCGGTTGGCGCGACTCCGAAGGCTTCTAGCTTAAAGCTGTGGGCTNNGGGCTTCGGGTGTGCCTCTTGTTTCTGTCCCGGTTGAGCCGCCGCCAACCAGATGCAAAATGGAGTTTTCCCGGCTTGGGAGGGCCACTGGGATTCTGTTTGGGATGTTGCCAGTGGCTTTGAGGGAAGTTTGAAGTGGAGAGCATGCGGTGGCGGGCGGCCCGGCTGTCCGGCCAGAACGGTCAGAGCCCCACGCAGCGGAAGTAGAAGTCCGGCCTAGAGGGGGGTACTCTGAGCCTTTTGCCATGGCCATGGCCATCCCAGACAGGCCTTGAGGAATCCATGCCCAGGTCCAGGGCCAGAACCAGGGCTTCGTCAGTCCAAAAGCCCTCAGAGACCGGGACTCTGCCCGTGCCCTGTGGCTTCGAGACTCTGGGCTTCGCGGTTTGAACCAAGCAGAGCATAGTCCTGGCCAAGAGGCCACGGCTGAAGCAGAAGTCCCGAAACCTACGTCCGAATCCAAACCGTGGCCTCCTAAACTCCCCAAGCTGAACTGCTCTGAGTCTTGCATGCCAAGCCGCTACGACGAACCAGGCACGTGGCTTCTCCGTGATTGCCAAGCGCAGCGAACGCGACATCAAGGCCAAAAACCCCGCAATTGACGGGTTCGACTCGGGACTTTCAGCATAATGTGATATAGTATGGTTCAGGGTTCGGAAGCAACGCTTGTGGCACTTGGGTGAGGGCTTAGAGTTTGGGTTTGGGTTCAATCCCTGCACACCAAACCCCGGAAGCAAGCCTAAACGTCTAGAGTCTAGAACCCCGCACCCACTACACCCCGAAAAGCACTCCCCAACGGTCTCACTAATGCCACATCTCCGGCACATGCAACTGCAACAGCCTCAGACTGAAGCACGAAAGCCCTGAAGTTCAAGAGCGAACGATCTATTGGAGACTTCCAGTCCCAAAGTCTCAGACGCCGTGAGCTCAAAGGCCATGGCAGTGGAACGCCGTGCAGACGCCAGGGCTGACCTTCCGCGGGCGGGACAGGCGCCCTCGCGTCTGGCGGCCCTTACCCAGAAGTTCGGAGATGGAAGCTTTAAGATCCAGGGCCATAGCGGCTTAGCGGGCGAACTCCGTAAACACCCTTTGTTGTCGTTGGGACATAGGCCATCCCAATGCGACTGGACAGCACTGGGACAAGCATCCCCAAGCCCCGCAGAATCCATCCACGCGACCAGCAACCCTGACTTGAACCGCGGTGCTATTTTTCATGCTCCCGTTCCTCTGTCAGCTCCGTTCCTCCAAGGCTTGGTTGCGCGCTGATTGGCGACTAAGTTGCTGCAGTTCCTTACACTACAAGACAGGTGGAGCGCCACTGGAATCGCCACGTGGCCAACGAGGCCCACGGAGTCGGGGCCAGGGCAAGTGGCATGATGCGCGCTCCCTCAGCAAGAGCCTGAACTTCAAGGTTGCCCTTAAGCTGGCCGCCCCTCCACTCTCTTCTGAGGCGTTGGACGAGGCGCGTCGCGCCGCCGATTGCGGGAACTTGCAGCAAGCTCGGCAGATCCTCGAGGACACGGCGCGGAAGGGTTAAGTTAGAACCTCGAGGGTTGGTGTGTAGGTGACTACACAAAACCCTAACCTCAGCAAGCGCAACCGCTGCCGAACTGACTAGACCGTCTTGCGTTGCCGAGTCCTTCCCATATAGTCGTTCAGAGTCTTCGAGCGAATTAGCCTGCAGCATGTTGGAGTTCCACAGGATGCCTCGGCAACCTTGGGCGCTTCTCTGGTGAAAAGCGGAGATCCCGTGTTCCTGGGCTGGTGTTCGGGATGATGCTGATATATAAAACTAGGCGGGCTTGGAGTCTTTGGAGGTTCGGGACTCACGAGATGCGTGGGTCCCGATGTTGCTTTAGAGAGTATGTTGGATCTTCTGCGCTACGCGGCTGTGAATCCCGGAAGGCCATTCGAAAAGGAGACGGCGCTAGATTTCCCGCAATCGAAACCTTCAGCCAGCTGCAACACCCTCGAAGCTAAGAGGATTGAAGCATCAGTTTTGCAGATCTTAAAATCTCGACAGTGGGGGGCCCGTGGCTTCAATTATCTCTAAGATTTCCCGTTTGTGGCGTTGGAGATGTTCACCATGTGCTTCTGTCCCACCGAATCATCGGGCGGCTGTTGTAACTTCGACTTTCAAGCTGCTTGTATTGATTGTGCAGCAAGAATAACTTCAGCTCAGGCCAGTGTTTCGGCTGCAGGGCTTGGGTTTGGAGTCATCCATCGCCCGCATTGACGTTCAATCAGGGATCCTGTAAAACCCGAGTCATGCAGAATAAGGTGGTTTACATTGGAATTTGGGGTGGTAGACAGCATGAGAAAAACGCGCACAGAGAGAGAGAGAGAGAGAGAGAGAGAGAGAGAGAGAGGCACACGCCCGCAGCGAGACAGACAGACAAACAAACAAACAAACAAACACACACACACACACACCCGCGCGCACACACACACACAC